TTACTTTTGTTTGCTTTTTGAGACAGGGTCTTGCTACATAGTTCAGGTTGGCCTCGGACTCACAGTGACCCTCCCGCCTCCGCTCCTGAGCGCTGGGATTAGAGGCGCGCGCCACCACACCTGCCCAGATGTTACCTTCAGTGTACGCCCTGCGAAAGGGAGCCCTGGAGTGAGCACTGCAGTGTAATTTTTAGAAACAGAAAATAAGTGTAGCTTTTCAGCCTGTCCAAGGCAAGGAAGAAAATGTTTTGGTTCAACCATGCTAATTTCAGCAAAAATATAATGACAATAAAGATGATGAATGGGCACATCTGCCCACTGTTCGGTATGCCAAAGACCATTTTCATATATAGCTCTATGATGTCTGTCTTTCCTGCTCATTATTAATTTCCCAAGGATATGTCTGGTACCTTGTGTATGAATTCTAGCCGTGTCTAAGCAAATCCAAGCCTTAGCTTCCTCAAGTGTATGATGAAATAATAATAATGCCCACCCAGCAGCTGTGCGGTGAGGCCTGCAAGCTTCGGGGACTTGAGAAGCTAACAGTGCACCATTAACCTGCATTTCAGTAATGGATGACAGGAGGACAAACACAGCCTCACCTGGTGTTCAACCACCCCCACCGAGTCTCCCAGGACACTTAAACATTTCCTGTGTGGTACAGATCCTGCCCTTCCACTGTTTCACAAAGGTCCAGAAAGAGCAACTCTTATTATTTAAATTCTTTCTACTTCAGAAACTCAGGCATTCATCACAAAGATTCCAAGGCCTGCTGCGTGCCTCACCCGATCTCCAGAGGGCAGACAGTACACTTTCTGCGTAATTCTCTACCAATGACAATTCTCTAACTGCTTCCTTCTCAAAACCACAGGAAGGGAAAGTATTATGCTCTGCCCCATCCTTTATTTTAAAGGAATATACATGTACCAACTGGGTCATCTTAATTTCACCTAGGTAAAAAACTATACAGTTGCACATGAAACCCACCCAACCACCCATACCAAAGACAAAATTCTATACCCTGCTTTCTAAAAATGCTACTGGCTGGGGATATAGCTCAGTAGTAGAACGCATGCCTAGCATACCCAAGGCTGTGGGATTGATCCCTAGCACCACAAAAAGTTTAATTAATTAACTAATGAAAATGTTAAGTCTACAACTTAACAACACTGCAGTCATCATCAGTTCAATCTTCCCTGCTGCAATATAAACCCAGTTGCAGTGTATTTAGCTGTTCACTCATTCAATTGCTTGATACTGAAGCCAGAGACTCTGCCAGATACAAGATATACAGACACATAAAATCAGCAGCCTAGGACCGGGGTGCAGCTCAGTGGCACAGCACTTGCCTAGTATATGTGAGGCCATAGGTTCAAATCCCAGCACTGCAAAAAAAAAAAAGTAAAAACCAAAACCAAAATCCAGCAGCCAAATTTCTCCAAAGGGGTCAACAGAGTCATGAGCAAGAAGGCAATTAATTGTTTTTGTACAGAAAAGCGGGGGCTGGGGATTTAGCTCAGCCGCACAGCGCCTGCCTGGCAAGCACAAGGTCATGAGTTCGATTCCCAGTACCGGAAAAAAAAAAACAAAAACAAACAAACAAAAAAACCAGAAAAGGGAATCTCTGTACCCTATGAGCAAGTCTGTAGAAACCTCCATCCCCCCAGCCCCCCACCCCCATGAAGGTGGAAGAGGGATACAGAGGGGCAAGAGAGCAGACAGTAACTCCTCTCTGGTCTCCCTTTCACAACTAACTGCTTAGGAAAGTCACCAGGCTTAGCCCTGCTCAGAGCAGCAGAGGCTAATATTTTGCAGGCAATTTGCCTTGCCTGTTCCAACTTTTTTGAAAAGGCATTTTCCCCCATCAAAACACAGAAAAATTAAACACACTTAAGCTTGTTTAAAAGTCATGACATTACTCTTAATTATACAGAATATACTCTATACAGTATTGTATAAGAAAAGTAAAATTTAAACACACAACTCCACTAATCATAAATAGCAATTTTAAATGTTTTATTCACAGCAGCTACTTCTGTCTTCTGCAAACAAAAAAACCCTCCTGAACGTTTACTTTTCATTCAGCATAAATGAGTAGTTTTCAAATACTTGAGTATTCTTAAAGCTCTGTCTCACCCAGAATAGGAAACAATACTTCAGTGCCCCAGTGGAAGAGAACTTGTTATCAGCCATTAAATCCCTCAGGCTGCTCGCCAAACCTCTCAGTATCAGCTTTCTCATCTGTGACAGGGGGGACTGAGGATAACCCCTAGGCTATTAAAATGATTAAATTAAGTGACAAGGGTCACAAACAAGGTTCCTATCACATATTAAGGGCTAAATGAGTTCTCAAAATCCCAGCTTTGATTTATACAGCTTTTGGGTCAAAAACCCATTAACAGTGAACAAGTAGGGTGTCTACAACAGACATGGAACACTGTCCACAAATTATTAAGTTAAAAACTGCCAAGTGTAAGCAGGTCTGTGTCCCAGTGCTCTAGGCTGCTGAGGCAAAGGGATTCAAGGCTGAATCGACTGGGTAACTTGGTGACTCTTAGAAATAGGGGACGTAGCGGAGCAGGGCTCAGCCTGGTGACTTTCCTAAGCAGTTAGACGTGAAAGGGAGAGGGCAGAGAGCAGGGACTTACCCATTCTCCTGCTCCTCCGTATTATCCCTGCTCACTTCCCCTGGGGAGTGGGGAGCGGGAGCCCTTGGAAGTGACTACAAACTTGTTCCTAGGGTACAAAGAACTCCCCTTTCTGTCCAAGAACAATTCAATTTCCAATACTTGAAAGAAAAAGAAGACAAACAAAAGGCAAGGTGTATATCAAGGTCTGAATAATCTGATCCCATATCTGAAAAAAGAACTATACACGTATACATGCACACATAAACACATGTACCCACTCATACACAGAGAGAAACACTCATTTTCTTCTTTTACTTTTATGTGTTTTCCACTCCCTATTATAAGTCTGTTTTTTATAATGAGCAAGGATTACTTTTATAATCAGGGCCCCAGTACCAAAAAAGAAAAAAACAAAGTTACCACTGTGCTCATTACAGATTACCAGGCCAGCCTAGTCCTATTCAGGTCTTCAAACCACATGAAATACACCTCAGAGTCGGGAATTCCACTGAAGCGCTCAACTTTGGCAGAAGTTCCATTTTGTGTCTGAAGCACACTACAAGGTGCTTTCACGATCCTGTGCAGCCAGCTCTCCCCCTCTGCTTTGCCTTGAACACTCTGACACTGGGGGCGTCCAAGACTCTCTGGCCCATGCCCCACACCCTGTAATCAGCAGAACCACCGAGGCCTCTTCCCTTTCTCTTTTCGGAAGAGGCACCCCAGCCATGGAAAGATTTAAAAATTACCCCACAACTCACAGAGAGGCTGACATTGGTGAAGTAATGTGACGTAAATGGACATTTTGAAGAAATGCTCTTGAGCACTTTTTCCCAGAAAATGCTTGCTTTTTTGTTACCTTAAACAATTTGGATAAAAATATAAATGTTGGCCCTAGAGCTATATAAGAAATGCCAAATAAAATGCTTTGTTTAAGCGTAAGTGAGTGAGCAACATAAGAAAGTGAACAATATAAGAAAAGCCAAATAAGATACTTTGTCAACTAAGATTCTAAACAATTTAAAACATTAGTTTGGCTATAGGATTAAATACAGTTTCACTGAAAATGAAAACCACACAACAACTTGGAAAGCAAAGAATAAAATTCACTAAGCACAGTGTTTGTGGTTTGGTCTCTATCACACCTCTCCTCCCCCAAAACCACTTATCTGGACTGCAGAAAAGCTACCCAACCTGGCAGCCACTGAATGCTTCAGCACTTCCTGCTATTATATTTGCCTGGGAGGAAACTTTGAAGGAGGTTCTTGGAATTTTCCACAAATTCACCATAGCAGAACTGGGGGAGGGGTGCTGATTGAACCCAAGACCTGCTTTGTGCTAAAGCCATATGCCACTGAGCCACAAAAATCATTTTAATATGTTAAAATAAACACATTTAGGGCATAAACACATTAGGGCATAATGATATCCTGGGTAAAGATCTAACAGCAAAATGAAGAATCTTTAAATAAAAAGTGTCTGGGTCCACATCCAAGTATCAAGTGCCTTCAACATGGAAATCTCTTGTATAACATATTTCCAAAAGCTCTTTTCACAAAATTCCCTTTGGTTTGGGGGACTTTTAAAAACCAGAAGAAGTCTTAAAGGAGACCAAGTACTTATGAAAACTTCTTTCTGTATCTGACAGCACGCTTTGAGAATTTGTTCTTTTTATCTGACTACTCAAAGACCCCATACAGACGACAAGTCCCACTTTTAATAGCAGAAATGTTATTAAAAAGCACCATTTTTACTAGGTGTTTCACTGCTCTGCTTTTGAACACAAGTGATCTGTGGGTTAACAAAACTTATATTTATTTGCTTAAGAAAAGTAACCTCACTTTGTAGCAAAGTTTTCAAAGTATTTACTTAGGTGAATCATAGAGATTAACAAAATACAGTACACACTTTTAAAAATAAAAGGGGGGTCAGGAATACAGCTCAGTAGTGCAGCGCCTGCCTGGCAAACGAGAGGTCCTCAGTTCAATTCCCAGTATCCCATCCCCCCAAAAATAAAATAAAGTAAAATAAAGGGAAGGGGCTGGGAGTATAGATCCTTGGTAGGGCGCCTGCATAGCATGCTCCAGGATTTGGTTGCAGCACTGCAAAAATTAAGATAAATTTTTTAAAAAGGGAGTTAGGACCCACTTTTGTCTGACTCTTATTTTGGAAAACTTGTGCTGCACACTTACAAAATAATTAGAGAATATGAAGCAACAAGACCCGAAGTTCACCCACTGTGGAGTGAATGACCCCAAGTCCTACTTCCCTCCTACTCACACTCCATACCCTGACCTCTGCCCACCTCTCACACAGGAGATGAACAATAACCTCAGTTCTGCATTGGGTCCCATCGGTCTACGGTGCACTGACCTGCTGGGAACTTATTTCCGAGGTTCCATTCAAAGCTCTCGGTGGAAATTCTCCCCCTGAGGGAGGAGAGCAGGAGCCTTCCTCTGCAGACACTGGCCTGGACAAGGCCCTGGCCCCGGGGTTCCTCCTGAAGGACCACCGCTCTCGGACGGACAGCAAGGTCACCTGTGGGTCATTCAGATTTGCCAGGAAGGACTGCTCGGGTTCCTGGGGCACTTCAGCCTTGGCTTTCTCCATTGCCATGGTCATGGTGACAGTCACACCTTCGCGCCCCACTAAAGCAGTTCAACTTCAAGAAATGCTTTCAAAGTGACCCCTAATTAGCAGGGGAAGGCACCCTTCCGCAACTGAGCCGACTGGAGAAGCTGTCTTTAGCCTGGCAGCGACTTCAGGAACTTGGGGGGCTGGGGACCGCTGAGCACCTGTTTGCTTTTGCCGATCTACATCCATCCCACCAACTGGTAGTAGCCTCTCACCACACCGCTGTGCGATGCTGTGGATATCTCTGCGCACGGCCCGCACACGCCTGCACCCAGCACTGTCTGCACACCTGGCCGGGTGTGTCTGTAAACACAGCACCTAATCATCACCCAAAGCTGCACAAGGCTTCCTTTTGCCTACCTGTACAGCAAGAAACCTGGCCTAAAGGCAATAAAGAGCTACTTCCTCTCTTTACCAAACTGCAAGCATTTTCTTGTAATAACTTCAGCGGCCTCTTCCATAGCTCCAACACCAGCAGGGTGCAGAATATTCTGGGAAAGGAGGATTTCCTAGGCAACAAGGCCTGCATTTCCAAGAAAGTGTAAAAAAGTTCCATGTTTCCTGCAGCTTTGTTTTCCCCTGGACCAAACAAGTAAGAACTGACTGCATGCACTGGCCGACTAACAGGGCTCCTTCCTCTTTTATATGTGGCACTGGAACTAATCCACAATTCAGCCTTCTCAGGCTACCTGCTGCTCAACATGAGGATTAGTAAGAGACACAAGATCGTGTGGTAATCCGGGCAGTCACCTGTGCTGTCCGGCAGTGCTATCTTGCTTCCCACCCCACCCCTCTCAGGGAGGGAAACTCATCCCTCGGAAACAGAGGAACAGCTCTGCCAGCAAGTAATCCTGGCAACCCCTACTGCAGCAAGTGTGTGCGGCATGTCCACACCGCAGACCAAATGGAGCTGGTGGTAACATAACCACAACATCCCTGCAGTGTGTGACATTCGGGGCTTCCTGGATGTGCACCAAATGTGGCATTTAGAACTCAAACCTTTCTGCTCAGTGCTCGCGCTCACTAAGGGTTTTTCCTCCTTATAGATTGCCCACAGTGACCCTCCTCTTCCCATGAAAACTGCCATCACTGTCCTCAGGAATTCCAGACTCTGAACTGTTCTTGGGCTGAAGTGTAGCTCAGTGGCAGAATGCCTGCAAAGCATGCACCAGGCACGGGGTGATATCCCCAGCATGAAAAACAAAACAAACAGTAAGAAATCTGTTCTTTTTATTCTCCTTTCCCTCCCCACCTCCATTTCTAGGTCCCCTTGCCCCATTTTCATTATTATTATTCTTTTAGTTGAAGTTTGCAACATATAATGATTACATTCCAGATATATGAAGTACATGTACCTACTCCCTAAGATGAATATAAACATCAGGTACTGCAAAACATGCAATAAAATAAAGCCACATAAACAAACAAATAAATAAGTAAATTCTCTTTGAGGGCAGGTGGCCCCACCACTCAACCATTCACCAAATACCCTGTGAAATTTCATTCTTCTTTTTGCCCTGTGTGTTTATTCCATGATAGTCTAAAGGTTTGTTCACCACTACTTCTGAAATAGGTTCAGGGCAGCCAACTGCTCCAAAATGTGCCTGGTTTCATTTTGATCTTCCAAGTGCTCAGCCAAAAACAAGAGAACTTTGCCACAATTTCCAAGAAATGCTATTCAAACCAGTTCCCCCAAAGGGAAAAGTACATCTGACACTACAGCCTCAGGCCATAGCCTAGCACTGCTGCGGCTCTTGATTACTCAAAAAATCTTGCTGGTTTATCTACTGCTCCTGTTTCCTGGCAAGATCTATCAGGATTTCTACAGACCTACTGACCCCTTCTTACTGGAAAATATAAGTGAATAACTGATAATTTTCTTTAAAATTTTGGTTATGTTAGTGGAAAAGTCTCCTGGAGGTATCATCGTTTTCTGTTGTCATTTAAAATGTGAGTTATAATTAGACATATTTTAACTGTTCCTGGTGATATGGGATTACTACTAACAGAAGTCCTTCCATGCTATAATTATGAGTGGCTGCAGGGATCCAGCTTGACCTCATTACAGCCACCTTCAATTGTAACTGCTGCGATTGCCTCTAAGTAACTGGTCCCTTAGGAAAGACAAAAGGCTGAACTTTGTCCTGTAGATGGCGGAATATCACTAGGAGCTTCTTTTCTTTCTTGGGGTGCCAGGGTTGAACTCACAGCCCGTGCATGCTGGGGAAGCACTCCAGCCCTGAGACATACTCCAGACCCCATCAGGAGCTTTTAAACTGAGGATTTACAGGATTACAGTGTATGCGATCTGGAAATACAGTTCTGACAGGAACCAAAAATACAGACTCAGAGGACAGTGGCACTTACAGGGCTTACAAGGGGCAGGGAAAATAAAGAACAGTGAGATTAAACAAGTGGGGAGGCCCTCTAGGCCCAGTGACCACAGAAGGCAACACGAACAGGATCTAAGGATGATAATCTGGTCTGGGCCCACAAAGACTCTGAACCAAGACGGGGCGGAATGGTGGGAGGAAAGCAGATCTGGAGGTGACAACAGTAGGTTTTCCTGTTCCCATGGAATTGAACGGACCTGTAAAACAGCAAGGGCATGGGCCACTTTCCCAGGCTAGAGGATCAAGTCCAAACTCCTTTCTGGCACTTTACCCTTATATCTAACCCCACTCTGCCCGCACCCAACTCCTGCCTAATCCTCTTTATCCTTTAAGCCCTGCCTCTCTGTGGACTTATCTCCAGCTACCCACAGGACAGGGCTCTCTCTCATCTAAATTCCAGCAACACCTATATCAACACTATCTTGTCTGCATTACTGGAGCCAAGTGTTCTGTTCATGCAGAGTGCATTCAGATTATTTTTGTTACTCCTGCCTAGGACTGTTCAACCCCGAGAAACACAGTAAGATTCAGCAACAAAAGAATCTTGTGTTTTACATGCCTAGAGATCTAACACCACAAAGGCAAATGTTGGATGCTAAATATATTTAAAGCATGTTTAACTGTATTTACATATTCAAACAAATGAGTTGAACCATATATACAAACAAACTTGTCCCCTTTACGACAATGAAATGGTGAACGCCATTATTCTCCTGCTAGAACAGGTCTCTATGTATCTTTGTTGCACTAAATTATTTTGCTTCTCATAAGGGCAAACTTCGCCTGCCATTTTCCAAAATAAAATTCATGTTGTTTACCTCTTCTGTACCTCCCAGGTCTTTGTGAGTCTTTTCTACACAAAAATAAAAATCCTTTAGGTGTCCTAAACCATCTTTTGCAACCTGAGAAGCTGGGCCCCAAGGCAGATGGACAGCTCAAGTTTCCAGGAACCTCCAGGACAAAAGGCCATTTGGGGGAGGGACACCTGGTTAAAATATTTCAGCACTCACAAAGATTACCTGCCCACCCAGCTTCACAAAAGGCAGGGCTTCTCAGAAAAGCCTTCCAGCAGGCCAGAGCAGCCCTCCCAAAGCAACAAGAAGAGTCCACGATCCCGGAAACAGACGGGATGGTGGAGCCCGACTGTAGGCTGCATGCTGGAAGCAGGGCTTGGACGGGTCCCACACAGGACATGAGCAGTACACACGGCACATCTACTGACAGTGAGGGGCCCACAGCCCACCCTTCATGCCAGATCACCTGGAGCTTGAGAGCCAAATACTTAAGCATAAGCACAAGAGACTACGGGAGGAGCACAAAACTTGTTCTGCCATTAGGAGAGAAGAACAGTAGAGGGCAGCGTTAAAGTACTGAAAACAATCACTGAAACTCCAAGTGGGGGTGCGGGGAGGGTCAGCTTCAGATTGAAGCTCCCCTGGGTCCTCATCCCACTGTGTAAGGAGCCTGGTGACTTCCAAGACTGAAACGAAACAGCCAGTGTGGGAGGTATGAAAATATACCACCTTGACAAGCTCACTGGAGGGAGTGCTTTTAATAAAACTGCATTGTCTGAACGGCCTAGAGTGAAGAAACATTACAGTACGGCTGGGGACTCCACAGACTGCCTGCCTAGCACATGTGAGGCCCTGAGTTCAATTCCCAACACAGCAAAAACAAAACAAAAAGTAAACACCCGTGCACGTGAAAACACACACACACACACACACACACACACACACACACACACACACACACCTCAGAAGGGGCCAAAACAGAGACGTGTTTCAAGTTCAGTTCATTACATGCACCTTCCTATGAACTTCACACCTTGTGTTTGTGTGCGTGGTACTGGGGATGGAACCCGGGGTCTTCACACCAATCTACACCCTCAGCACATTTTTTTACTTTGAGACAAGGTCTCAGTAAGTTGCCCAGGCAAACCTAACTTAAATCCTCCTGCCTCAACCTCCCAAAGTACTAAGATCACAGGTGTATACCACGACACCTAGCTCCAACACTAGTTTACTCAAAGTTCCAATGGGGTGCATGCGTATTCCTCACAGCTGCTTAAAGACTAAATAAAACATCCAGGATGCTGGCTATGAGCTGATTTGTCACCACTGGAGAGGTTCCTCAGTATCACCTGGCACCACTTCCCACTCCTCTCTCTTCAGTTTCCTGGACACACATCCTCCACCTCCTCCCTTGGCCCTCAGCACCCTAACCCCACCTTATTCTCCGCCTCTTCTCAATCTCCATCCAGCTGACTGCTGCGCCAAGACAAAAGAAGACATCAAAAGACCTGCAAACAAGCTCACACCTGCACCAGGTGCCTTTGCTCTGCTGCCCAGGGTGCCTGGTGGTTGTCTTGGAGGTCGGCCTCCAGGTTACCACACCTCCTGCTTTCCCTTCTATGCCCCCCTAGCTCCTGTTCAGAGCCCCTCTCCAGACCTTGGCCCCAACCCTCTGCGTGCTAGAGTGGTCCCTGCCTCTGCCCTTGAATCTCTTCTCTTCTATACCCATTCCCTGGTGACCTCACCCAGTTCCTTGGAAATACCACCTTCCTTAGTCTAATCAGGGTGCTGTCACAAAGGATCTTAGACTGGGTAATTTATATGCAAAAAATTATTTCTCACAGTTTTGGATGCTGGGAGCTCCAAGATCAAGGTGCCAGCAGTATGACATCTGCTAAGGACTGCTTCCTACTTCAGAGAAGGTTCTAGCTTTCTAGGTGCCTTCTCACTGGGCAAACAGCAAAGGGGCTCCTTCAAGCCTCTCTTGTAAGGACAGTCATCCCAACAGGTCTGTCCTTATGACCTACTCACCCCCAAATCCCCACCTCCTAATGCCACTGTGGGGAGAGGGGTCTGCAGGCAGGGAAAGA